GAGCGCAACCGGTCGAAGGAAACGAGCGCATTGGGGAATGTGCCCAGGTTCTCGAGCGGGATGTCGGACTCGTGGAGTTTTGTTAAGAGTGCCTCAAAGGACTTGGTGTGGGCAAGCAAGCGTTGGTCATCATCATTGCTTGTTCTCTCTTCCATCATTGTGGTATACTCTATCGCTGCTTCCAAGCCCCGGTCCTGGTTGTATTCCATTCTGTCTTCGACTCCGAACAGAAGCGATGAGGATGATGAGACTGCTCGGTCTCCTCGGGATCGGGATGCCACGGACGAGCTCGGTGGGCAGGAAGTACAGGACAGCATTCCATCGAGTCCGGATCGCTTTGCTGGCAATCACGTGGGGTGTGAACAACAGCCAATGGAGGTCGGTGATCGACCTGTTGGGAGTGCGCGGGAAATCGGACAGCAGGAGAGTTTTGGCGGGAGCCTCATCGATCATCGAACTGCGGCTGATCATCCGCTGAAACCGGTCAACGACGGGGATGGCGACCACGCGCGTAATGGGGAAGGTCGGGTCTCGATCCTGCACCCTTCGTCGAACACCTATCCTATCCACAGCGCTCCCCGCCCTTGTCCTGGAGGATATTATGAAGTCCGTACGGTATATGATGTGACGTCGAAAAAGCCGTATGACGTGATGGTTATGCGGGAGGAGAAGTATCGGGGCTGCCTCGTCAGCAACGACGACGAGCGGACTTTGCCGGAGGTGGATGGCAATGGCTGTCACAGTGGTTTTTGGGCCAACCACGTGCGTACGGATGAGAGCCTAATTAGTGCTGATGGGCCTGATCGGTCGGATTTGGCAAGTCCCTGGGCGAATGCCAGCGAGACCTGGGGTCCCTCTTCTCCTTCGAGGTTGATTAATGAGTGTGGCAAACCAGATTGGCTGAGCTTGGCTCACGAAGAGCTGGTGCACATCTTCAGCTTTTTGCCCGCCAAAGATCGTTTTTGCGTGGGAACTGTGTGCCGCAACTGGCGCCACGCGGCACTGGATTCGATGAGTTGGCGGGAAACGGTACTCGACGACGATTTCGCGGGGGAGGGAGGGCGCTGCGCCGCCATTTTCCGCAGCCAAGGCCGTCTTCTCCGCCTCTCCATTCACTCTCGCGCTTATGATATACTTAGCTGTATTGGTGACAACTGCCCTCAGCTTGAGGATCTGTCAATCACGGGATTCCTGCTTTGCCCACGAAACACCTCAGCACTTGAGGGATTGGGTCGGGCATGTCCGATGCTTCGATCTCTTGCCCTCAAGGTCCATTTCCTTGGCCCTGAGACTGACATGGCCCAGCTAATCGAGATGCTAACCACAGCTTTTCCAAAACTCACGGGTCTGAACCTCAAGGTACATGAAGGAGGCCATCGAATCCGACGCGACGAGGTAGCGGGTCTCGTGCAGAAGCTCCCTAATCTAGAAATCTTGAGATTGCAAAGCCCGGCAAGCTCAAGCTGCAGAACTGTACACGTGGACTGCTGTCGCTTGTCCATTGATGGGCTGAAGGACCTGCCATCGACCCGGAAGGATCTGCGAATCTTCATCGAAGTCCCTATCTGATATGACATTGTACTCAACCTAGAGATACCGATGAGAAGTGGGGTCGTTAGCTGTACTACCTGCCCTGCGGTGGGCGAGGGTGCGCACATGACACTACTGAACAGCTTGCAATGCCTCCACGTGGAATGTCGCCTGGCTTTAGATGCTTACACGTGGACTGTAGCCTAGCTTGAGATGCTTACACGTGGACTAGACGGACGATAGGGAGTAGCCCGGGAGGGGGAGCGGTTGGGGTGTCTGGGGAGAGGAGGTAGATGTGCAAATCGCCGTTTCGAAGTCTGGATCTGATGTGCTCTATCTAGATCCTGATGATTATAGAGGTCAGATGCACCTGGCTTGTCGGTGCGGACAGGTGCATCTGACCTCTCACGGGCAGGGGCTTCTGCGCAGCTTGATATATACCAGCCTTCAGATGCTTAAAGATGGACTTTTGCGTACTCGCTTGATACTCTTACACGCTAGCTTGAGATGCTTATTTGTGGGCATCTTGCTACCGTCTTCGCCCGAATAGTACGCCCGGTCATTACAGCCGTATTTGGAGCAACTTTCAGTCGAGATGCGGCCATACTGACCGGGCGTTCAATTGGGGTGAAGACGCTAGCTTGAGATGCTTAGTACCCAGCGTAGATTGAGATCCGTACACGTGGAATTTTGCTAGCTTCAGAAGCTTCCACGTGGACTGTCGGCGTTTATCGAATGGTTGCGCCCGACCCGGCGAGATCTGCACATCTCTCTCCCTCTCTTAGTTGTGAATCGCATCCGATGTACTCAGTAGTCTGGATCCCGATAACAGGATAGACTGGTAGGTTGGTAGGTGTGCCTGCCTCTGCGCTGCCTGGATGGTGCGCGCAGGTTTAGTTTGTATGTTGATACGCAGGTCATGAGTCCGAACTCTCGCTGCCCGGAAGACCCTCATGACGCCCTTTTTTTTTTTTTTT